TGGGGCTTCCTTGCCCCCGCGGGGCCGGTGACACGAGGAGACCGGGCTCCCGTCGAGCCGGGCACCGCGCACGGAGCAGCCTCCCTGGGGCCCCCGGCGCTGCTCCCCGCGGGAAGTCGGGGCGAGGGGCGTGTGGCCGCAACCCTCACCCCCCCTGCCAGCGGCCCGGGAGTGCCGGTTGTGCAAGGCCCGGCTCCTTGGGCCGTGATTCACAGCTCCCCTCCCTGCCCGCCGCTCGCCGGCCCCGGGGCACAGCGGGGCCCGGAGTGGGCGGAGGCGCCGGGACGGGGGCGGTGCAGCGGGCTCTGGAACCTCCTCTGTGGGGACGTTCTGGGGTCAGCACTCCCGTCACGCCATGGCCGAGACACGCGTGGGGACAGCTCCTGTCACCACGGCCCCGCACGCAGCTTGTCCGCAGCCCCTGCAGCTCAGCGCTGCCGGCCTGCTGGACCCCCGCCGTGCCTGGACGCACCAGCTTTTCTGAGGAGAGCCCTGGCATGGGCACCACCTTGTCACCCTCAGCAGAGGTGGCCCCAAGTGCCCCTGCTTGCTGTGAGGCGGCCAGAACAAGGGGAGCCCTGCTTCACCTTCCCTTGGGTGGAGGTGCAGATCCTCCAGGGAATGTTGTGCTCTGTGGTGGGGAGATTCTCCACCTCCATAGTGGCCTTAAGGTTCACATGGGCATCGGAGGGGTGGAGGAGCCAGGTTTTGTGTCGTTGTACTGCACAACAGAGGTAAAACCTGCTGCAGGAGAGGCGTGGGTGCTGTGCTGATCAGACAAGGCGTGGATGTCACCTGTCCGTCCCCGGTTAGACTCGCTGTCACGGAAGTTAACTTTCTCTCTTCTCTCTCCTGTTGCCCGTCAGGGAAGGGAAACTACTGGACCTTAGATCCCAACTGTGAGAAGATGTTCGACAACGGGAACTTCCGCCGCAAGCGCAAGCGCCGCTCGGAGCCCAACGCGCCCGCAGCCTCCTCCCTGGGGGGCCTGAAGGCCGAGGAAGAGCGACCCATCCCAGCCGCAGGAAAACCGTGTGGAAACAGCCCACCCCCAGAGCTGGACCCCTCGCCTTCTGCCAGAGACCATCCAAAAAGCTCCTCTCCCTCCGGGATCATTTCATCCACCCCCAGCTGCCTCAGCACCTTCTTCAGCGGCATGAGCTCCCTGAGCGGCGGGGGCGGCCGGGGGGCGGGGGGGCTCAGCAGTGACCTGCATCACAGGAACTTCTCTGCTGGACAGCTGAGCAGTGGCACTTTCACCCCTTCCAGCAGCTCTTCTCAGGAGGTGCCTTCGCCAGACCAGCTGCAGCGGGTGGCGGGACCTTCCCCTGCCTACTACAGCTCCTTCCATCCCAGCAGCAGCAGCCAGGGAGCCCAGTACAACCACTACTACAACTTCACTGTTAACAGCCTCATCTACACCCGGGATGGAACAGAGGTGTAGGATGCTGGGGCAGTCGGCCGGCGAGCGCTGCGAAAGGTGCAGGAGTTGCAGGTGTGTTTGGCAGCCCGGAGGACCAGACGCTTTTGCAAACAGCATTTCAATGTGGACGCTTCCCAGGATTTCCTCCAGGGAGACAGATCTCACCTTTCAAAATAAGAACGCCCCGTAAACACCAGCAGAAGGCAGATGCAGTGTCCTTTCACTTCTCCTGGAAAACACTAGGTGGTTTAGATGGCCTGCCATCTGAATCCTGCAGGTGAAAGAGAACTGAATTAAACGTTTCCAGCGGTTTCTAATCCTGAATGTAGAGTAAGAAGTTTAAAACCTATAACCGTAAAGCGGTATCAGCAAGAGCCAAGTGTAGAAATCCAGTGAGACTTAGGAGAGAGCAGGAAAAAAAAATAATTAAAAAATGAAGAGATTTCTTATGAAGTGCCTTGTACAATGTATTAAAAACCTCTTCTGCCAGCAGTTGCCTCTGTGAGCCCTTGTTTTCTGCCCTGATCCTGCAATATGCGATGCACAGGAGAGATAGTCTGGGGGAAAACTCACCCAAAACCTCCTCCAAACCCATGGAGGTTCACTCTGGCCTTCCTGTGTGTGGCATATTGTACAGCCAGGGCTGGGTTTTGTAAAACAAATCTTTTTTTTTTTTTTTTTTTCCCCTGAGCTTAGTACCAAAGATAACTGTAGCCATGCAGCTTTAGCACGAGAATAAACACTGGGGTATTTTTATACATATTTGTACGTAATGTAACTCTTCTGTACATATGATTCTATGTGGTTTTATATTTGTAAATTATGCTCTGGAGCTGTACTTATTTATAACGTGTTTTAAACTTTGTTAAAGTTTATTTTACTTTGTTTCCCCTCCTTTTTGTTTTTTGTTATTTTGTTTTCTTGTTTCGTTGTTTTATTCGTTTTGAATTTTTCGTTGGTTTTGTTTTTTTGTTCCTTAGTGTATTAATGAAACTTTTGAGGCTGAAGAAGCGGTTGGGAATAAAACGTTAACAATTGTTAGATGTTTGGGTTTTGCCTGGTTGTTCCTCATTGTGCTTGAGGTATTTTAAAACTCTGGGGGAGACAGGTCTTGCTTTCACGTGGTTTGGGATAAAAGGTGCAAAGGTTTAGATGAACAGTTTCCATCCGTGCAGTAAGTCAGGAAAAAAACTGCTCTGGGCCCAAAAGAGATGTGTCTCCAGGTGATTTGCCAGCCTCTTGAAGTCTCCCTGTGCAGAGTGGGAATGTGGGGCTTTTTTGTTTTGTTTTTGTCAATGGTCTGAATTACAGCTGTCCTGTTTTTTTTAGCCTGGTTTAGTAAAAAATTAAATAAAATAAAAGCTTGCAAAAGCAGCAGGGCTGGGTCCAGCATGGTGCTGGCTGGCAGGAGGTACCAAGCCTGTGCTTTTGAGTGTTGGCTCAACCCGGTTTTGCAGATCAGTGTTTTTTGATTGCACCTGCTTAAAATGGCAGGTGAGTTGCAAAGCTTGACCAGTCAACCGGTGGGCCTGGCTTAGTCCTCTGCTGAGAGTCCTTCCTGATTCTTCCTGCTGGGAAGAGGGGCTCCATCCTAGGGCATTATGCAAAACTATTGGCTCCCAATTCTTGCTGTTTGCCTAAGTTTGTTGGGTGCTGGTGGGGCCATAGAGTGTAAATATAAATGTCTTCATGAGGAATGTATCATCAATAATGAAGTTAAGCATGAAAATGCAGCTATTTAACACACCTGCATCTGCAGTGATGTAAGGCCACCCCTGCAGGCTACTGAGAAAAAAAAGAAGGTTCTGGCAGTGTGATGCAGCAGCTCTTCGCTGGCTACCTGCAAAACATTAGTGATGCAAGACAAACCACTGGCCTGATCCAAACCATAATGAAGCTGTGATGAAATGTCAGATGACTTCCATGTGCTTGGGATCGGGACCAAGTACTTTCCCCAGCACTGTCCAACCATTTGTGCAATGGCTGAGACCAGTGGGTGGGTGGCAGCTCCTGCCTCATCCCCCTTTCGGTCACTCCTTCCCAGCACAGATACCATCTTCCTGGCTTTAGGGGTAATTCCTCCATGTCTTGTTTTTTTATTTTTTTTTTTTTATTTCATCTCAGGTGGTGCAGGGGTAGTGATAATGGGAAGGAAAGTGCAGACTGCCAGTAGCACAAAGCCAAGGTGGTCAGTCTTGTCCTGCTCGGGTTCAGTCGCACCAGGTGTGGAATAGCTTTATTTGGATTTTGGACTCCTGAGTTTGATCTTATAGCAGTGGAGGGCATCCCAACACCTTTAGAAGGTTAAGAACCAGTCCTTAAGTAAGCCAGGAACTGCTTACTCATGTATCTAAGTGACCATTGCACGCCTTCTCTGCTCCGCCTGCCTGTGGTCTGACCTCAGCAAGGAGTGGGGCAACGTGGGACACTTGCACATATCCAGCTCATGTTCTTCCAGCCAGAAGATTTTCAGGATTTACCCTCTGCCACTTCCATCAGATAGGTGTTTCTGCAGACAATACCCATAAACATTTGCTCCTGAAGATCCCAAATCGGTGGCAAATTTGTGTTGCTGTGTGGTCTGCCCCTGGCAGTGTCTCCTCAGCAAATGTCCCGTGGTTCAACAGACCTCGTGCCACATCTGTTGGGTGGTGGTATAACCAGAACTTGCCAGGGCAGAGCCAAGGGAATGGTGGTGGGCTCTAGGGAGGATTTGGCAGGTCTAACTGTCCCCCGTGCAACTTCCCTGCCACTAGCACCAAATCCTGCTCCCTCCAGGGAAAGTGAGCCCTTAGCTGGAACCAGAGGCTGTGGCCCCTCCTGGGGACACAACACTCCAAAGACTGGAGTGCTCATGATAAAGCAACCTGCCCAAGGGACACTTAAGAGTAGATTTCAGCAAATAGACACCCTGTCTGCAGAGAGGAGTCAAGTGAATGAGCTAATGGCAGCCTTTTATGTGTCCTTTTGTCATTAAAAGAAACTTCTTTTAGCAAATTTGGGGAAGAGGGAGGGCAAGAGGATTGAGTTTAATGAAAGGCACTTAAAAGCAGCAGGGCTTTTGTCATGGGATTTGAGGATTTACTGTGATGCCCCCATTGAAGGAGGGGGAAGACAAAGGCAATTAGCCTGGTGGTCCCACCCTAAGAGTCCCCACTTCCCTCTAAATGCCAAGGCCATGCCTGGGATGGGCAGTTCTCCATGACAATGAGCCTCTTCCCAGCCTGGGGACAGCCCAGCAGCCCAGGGCATACCCTGCTCCAAGGGAGGTCAGCAGAGAAATGTCTTTCCCATGGAGAGAGGCTCAAACTTCAGTCATCCATCCTCTCTGCGCTGGCAGCCCCCTGCAAAATTACTTCTTACGGCTTTGAGGGAGCAGTGATCTCATGGGGGGTAGCTGAGAGCCCACAGATGCTATCTGCTGTTCATGTTGCAGAAGTCTCATCTTTGCTTGGTTTCTCTGTTGTAATAACTGCCAACATCTCCACTCTTTTCTAGGCATCTAGAAAGATGCCGTTTCAACTGGACAAGGCTGATGCAGCTCAACCATACTTGGTGTGAACCCACAGTGGTGCTGATGACTGACAGCCTGGCTGCCTCAGCCCTGTGCTGCCTCTACCTGCTGACACTGCCAGCCAGGGACTGTGGCTCTGCCTGAAAGAGGGTAGATTTAGATTAGATCTTCGGAAAGATATTCTTTCCTCTGAGGGTGGTGAGACATTCAACCAGGTTGTCCAGGGAAGTTGTCGATGCCCCCTCTATGGAAGTGTTTGAGGCCAGGCTGGATGGGGCTTGGAGCAACCTGGTCTGGTGGGAGGTGTCTGTGCCCATGGCAGGGGGCTTGGAACTAGGTGATTTGTAAGGTCCCTTCCAACCGGAACTATGACAGTTCTAGGAGTCCAGCTGAGAGCTGCACACACAAACTACTGAAAAAGGTAGTCCCTGCTTGAAAAGAAGTGCAGTCCAAAGGCACTTCAAGAGGTGTGCTGGATCAGTAACACAGATGCTTGCTGGCTTCTACGTGTGGCACTTCTCCAGCACAGGGTCATTTACCTCTGCGCGGCGCTGGCCTTATCGACGTGCCAGTGAAAGGTTCAGGCAGGCACCCACTGCAGGTCTGCACTTGAGCTGCTGCACAGTACAAAGGCTTTGCCAGTACAGCTGGATCAGCCCAGTCCCCTAGAGGAGACCCAGCTCCCATCAACAAAGGAAACTCTTGTGCCAGTGAAGTTCAACCCCCCACCCCCAGCAACACCGAGTACATGGTGGGGTGGTGGGAGGGGATTCCAGAGGCAGAACACAGCCATCCACCCTGGGTTTCATCACTCGCCAGCTCTTTTGGAAACAGGGCTTCATTTACTGCCACTGGCCATGGGCTGTGGTTTACATCTCTGGAGGATCCTTTTGATTTGCTCTGTCGCTCACCAACTTCATGAAAGTTGGCCACAGTATATTGTGCCTGTACAGAAGTCTTTATTGCCTTTGTTACACTGATTGAGGGTGATTTTTTCCTTGAAATCTTTAGGAATGCTTCAAAAGAAGTAGTAGTATTCAAGGAAACTACTCTGTGGATATCCTGCCCTTGCCCTGGCTGTATTTCTAGTAATGGAAGATCTTCATCAGGCTTCTCAAGGTTGAGACACCAGACCTGCAGATCTCACAGAGTCACAGAATGACAGAATGTTTGGAGTTGGAAGGGACCTTAAAGATCATTGAGTTCCAACTCCCCTGCATGGGCTGCTCAGAGCCCCATCCAACTTGCCCTTGAACACCTCCAGGGATGGAGCCCCCACATCTCTGGGCAGCCTGGGCCTGTGTCTCACCACCCTTACACTGAAGAATTTACTCCTGATCTCTAACCTAAATTTCACTTATTTCAGCTTAAAACCATCACCCCTTGTCCTCTCACTGCAAGCCCCTGTACAAAGCCCCTCCCCAGCTTTCCCATAGCCCCTTCAGGTACTGGAAGGCCACTATGAGGTCCGCCTGGAGCCTTCTCTTCTTCAGGCTGAACAACCCCA